TCAAATAGATTGTAAAGCTTTCTGAGATCATAGATTATTTCTCTTCTTTCCAGAACTTAAGCAAGGCTTTGCTTACCACGGATAATATGTTTGTTGTTGATTATAGAGTTTCTAGCCTGTCGACTGAAATTAAGATTGTTGAGGCAGAAATAATTTTGTAAAGTTTATTGGGAGCCAAATGTGAGGATCAACCTGGCAGACACCATCTAACACAGAATCAGACAAATGCCCCAAAGTTTATTACATATAACAAAGGCTTTACAGGCAGGAAGAGTTGAAGAAAGCAGAAACAAAGAACAAAAAGCAAAGGAACCAAGGGCTGCAGCCCCCTCCACTTGGAAGCAGGCAACAGAGTTCCTGGAGTCCTGGGAAAAGAGCAGAGTGCAGTACTCCCCACCCAAAAGCAGGCAAGAGATCTTGCCCAAAACACCACCTCTGTACAGATGACCCACCACAGCCACCACAACAGCCATAGCTGCTGCAAAAGCCACTCAACACCACATGAGCAGCCACAGCCATTGTGCTGGCAGCCTGCTAGACACTTGACTGTACTGACATAAGGAGAATCATGAGTGGAGAGTGGAAGAAGAGGACGTCTCTCTCTCAAAGCCCACTCCAGAGTAACAGAAGAAGCAACTGCTCTACCAGATGACCAGACATCAATGTAGAGATACTAAAAATTTGAAAACCCAAGGAAATATGACACCACCAAAAGAATACGGTAATTCTTCAGTACCAGACCCTATAGAGCAGGAAACCATTGAAATGACTGAGAAAGGATTCCAAGCAACACCCTTAAGGAAATGCACTGAGATACGAGAAGACTCAGTTACACAACATAATGAGATGAGAAAAAAAAAAAAATCCAGTATAAAGGAGGAAATTTATGAAGAGACTGATACCTTAAAAAAGAATGTAGCAGAACTCATGGAACTGAAAGATTGACTCAACAAAATAAAAAACACAACCAATAGCTTAAGCAGGAGGCTAGAACAAGCAGATGAGAGAATTTTTGATCTTTAAGATAGTCTTTTTGAAATAACCCAAGCAGACAAAAAAAAAAAAAAAAGGAAAAAAGAATTATTTTTTTTTTTTTGTCTTTTTGTCTTTTTTCCGTGTCCGGCAACGGATCGCAACCCTCAGTGTTGCCCCCGTACCGGACCGGGGACCGGCAACGGGATCGCAAGCCTCGGCGTTGCTCCCGCGCCTCGCTCAGCCAGTGAGCGGGAACCGGTCTGTATGTGGGATCCGAACCCTCGGGCGGGAGCGCCACCGCGCTTCCCAAGCGGCGCACTATCCAGTGCGCCACCAGGCCGGCCCGGAAAAAAGAATTTTAAAAACTGAAGAAATTCTAAGAGACCTAGCAGAAAACTTTAAGTGCACAAACATGTGAATTATGGTGTTCCAAAAGGGGAGGAGAAAGGAAAGGCATGAAAAACCTATTCAATGAGGGCCGGCCTGTGGCTCACTTGGGAGAGCGTGGTGCTGACAACACCAACTCAAGTGTTAAGATCCCCTTACTGGTCATCTTTTTTTTTTTTTTAAAAAAAAAAAAAAAAGAAAAACCTATTAAATGAAATAATAACAGAAAACTTCCCAGGTATAGGGAGAGACATGGACCTTCAGATCCAGTATGCTCAAAGATCCCCAAAGAGATTCAACTGACAAAGATCCTCTCTAAGACAAATTATAGTCAAACTGGCACAGCTCAAAGACAAAGAGAGAATCTTAAAAGAAGCAAGAAAAAATCATCAAGTCACTTATAAGGGAGCCCCTATCAGACTAACAGCATACTTCTCAACACAAACTCTACAGGCCAGAAGTAAATGGGATGATATATTCAAAATACTAGAAAAAAACTTCCAGCCAAGAATGCTATACCCAGCAAGGCTATCCTTCAGGAATGAGGGAAAAATAGTGTATTTTCCAAACAAACAACAACTGCAGGAGTTCACCACCACATGACCAACCCTACAATAAATCCTCAAGGAAGTCCTGCATCTGGAATCTGAAAAATGATAATCACTATCACAAATACACAAGAAAGAATAAAACCCACCGGGAGAACAAAAATGCAAATGAGAAAGAGAAAGAAACTAAATCTTACCACCACAAAATGCCATAGTGAGAATGTAATAATGTCCCTACTTTATTTCTGATTTTAGGAATTTCGGTCTTCTCTCTTTTTTCTTGGCCAATCTAGATAAAGGTTTGCAAATTTTGTTGATTTTTTTTTTTTAAAGAATCAACTTTTGGTGTTGTTGATTTTTTTCTATTGTTTTAAAATTCCCTATTTCATATATTTCTGTCATAATCCTTTTTATTTCCTAGTTATATTTGGTTTTGGTTTAGTTTGCTCTACTTTTGCTATTTTCTTAAGGTAGAAGTTTACATTACTGTTTTGAGATTTTTCTTATTTTTAATAGAGGTCTTCACAAGTATAAATTTTCCTCTAAGCACTGCATGAGCTTTGCGTCTTATAAATTTTGATATGTTACTCTTTGATGTTTATCTCAAAGTACTCTCTAATTTCCCTGTGATTTTCTTTTTACCCAGTGTTTATTTAGGGAAGTGTTATTCAATTTCCACACATTTGTAAGTTTTCTAAATTTTCTTCTATTATTGTGGTCAGAGAACATAGTTTCTATTTTTTTTTAAGGGAAAAATTTAAACGAACAAACAAAACAAGTTAATGGAAAGATTTCCATTATCTTTCAATTCTACTTTTCCACGAACTTTTTGAAGTGCCCTTGTGTTTATGTTGTTTTTGATTTTTCAATGCAATTATGGTGCTAATCTTAAGTATTTAATTTCTGTTCTTGATTTCTTTTCATTAAGCAGACTTGTTGATTTGCTTAGAAATTAATTTGCCTTTGAAAAGTTTATTCATCTTCCTCTGTTGAAATTAATTTGATATTTGCATGCTTTTGGAAAACTTTTGAGGGCTATTTCAAATAATTGTAGAGATTTTAAAATGAAACATGCAAATTTCAATGTTTTACATCCCCAGTTTTTGTGAAAATTTGAAGCCCTTCTTTCTACAGAGTATTTTGTTATTCATCTTTTATTCAGTTTATGTGTTTGTTATTTGAACAAATAAATGTGCATATCCTTAAAAAAAAAGAACAAAAAGTGGATTGGTCATTTCAAAGATATTTTCCTGTAAGATGGTGACAAGGGAAACAGAATAATAGGAAAATAACTGATTAGTTAACATCAGGTTACTTCAGGCTTTTTTGTGTGTGTAAGGATTAAAGCAGAGGAAACCTCATTATCATACCTATTCAATATTTAAACTGGTGTGGGGAAATTCGCTGTTTTCTCTTCCTGCTGGCTTCTTGGCAGGTCAGACAAAAACCTAAGTTACTTGGAATGTAGCAGGGGTGACTCTATTTTGATTTCTAGTCTGGTCTTTTGGGGCCTAGTCCAAAGCCATGGCCTCCTATAACTTTTATTTAACAAGTGTAGATGCAAATAAAAAGTGAAAATGAAGGAATTTTTTTTTCTTTTATGGCTGGCTGGCAGAGGGATCTGAACCTGTGATCTTGGTGTTATAAGGCTGTGCTTTAATCAACTGATTTAACTGGCCAGCGCTGTAAATGAAGGAATGTTGTTGTGCACTTGCTGTTTTAGAAATTTTGCTCACCTACTTAGTTGTTCGAAATTATTAAGCAGCTGAAAATAAAGTGCCTGGTTACGTGCGGGAAAACTTGTGACTGAAAAGTCAACTAGGTCTTAGAAGGTCACATTCATGTGAACCTAAAAGGGCAAGGAAAGACAGAAGGCAAAGCTGATTTAAAAAAAAAAAAGTTAAAATGCTAAACTAGTTAATCCCACTTATTAAAATATAAAACCTTAAACTCTCATTTCGGTTTCCTCAGCAAAATGAGTTGGAGAGGGTAGGGCTGAAACAGGCATGTTCTTGGGCCATTCAGCGTTGACATCTTACTTCAAGATGCCAGCTAGCGGACAGAGACCTGCTAAACTTGATCATATATATACTCTATGCAAGATAATCAACCCTCCCTCCCATCACCCGCTCTTTCAAGGCAGCGACTGTATCTGATTTCCCTGAGAGTCCCTACAATTTAGCACAACATCGGACTCCGAGGAGGCGTCCAATAAACGTTCGCACCGCTGGACCAGATCCTGAGTTCCAGTTCAGAACCCTGTAGAGGTCAAGCTCCCTCCCTCTCCCAGCCAAGTCAAAACCGGCGCTTGCGCAGTGACTGGCCGCGGTGGTTCTCACTGAGATGAACTTGACTCGCTCTTGTGATTGCAGACAGAGCCCGTATCAGAATTAGGGCCGGGGGTGGGAGGGGGCAGGGAGGAATCGGTAAAGGGACACGAAAATCAACTACATCGTATTTTGATAAAATAAAAATACGGGCAGAGGGCCGGCCCGGTGGCGCACTCGGTAGAGTGCGGCGCTTGTGAGCCCGGGGGTGCTCCCGCCGAGGGTTCGGATCCCATATAGAGACCGGTCCGCTCACTGGTTGAGCGCAGTGCGGGTGCGACACCGAGGGTTGCGATCCCGTTACCGGTCACGAAAAAGGACAAAAAGGAAAAAAAAAAATACGGGCAGAAATAAAAAAAAAAAAAGAATCAGGGCCGGGCTGGTACCGACACCCCGGAGAGCCAGGAATTGCCTCACAGCAGATATTAGCAGCTAACCTTTGAGAACGCGCGGGCACCAAAAACAGCCGGAACCCTCTGCTCAGCTACGTTGTCCGCTGTCAAACCTCTCCCCCTCTTCCTCTCACAGTATCTTGTTACTACAGCAACTGTGGGAGTCACGAATCTAACAGCGGAAACGAGACAAAAAGAGAACACGTCTCCGACCCTTTGACAGAGCCATTGCGCAGGCGCATTAACTTTTTCCGGCTGTAGTTCGTTCTGTTGATGTAGTCTGCGTCTGCGCATTAGTTCTCCCGCTCCTGGGCCAGCCTATACGCTTGCGCAAATTGACGCGTTGGGGAACGCTGAGCTGGACTGCAGCAGCGCGCATGCGCAAACGCTGCATCCGGTGTGGCGGTCTAATCTAGGAGTCTGGGGCATCGGCCGAAGTACTTAGGGTGTAGTCATGTCGGCGTCTGTAGTGTCAGTTATCTCGCGATTCCTAGAAGAGTACTTGAGTTCCACTCCGCAGCGTCTGAAGTTGCTGGACGCGTACCTCCTGTATATACTGCTGACCGGGGCGCTGCAGTTCGGTTACTGTCTCCTCGTGGGGACCTTCCCCTTCAACTCTTTCCTCTCGGGCTTCATCTCTTGTGTGGGGAGCTTCATCCTAGCGGGTAATGATTCAATAAGTAATCGCGATAATAATGTGTTACTTTGATGCGCTGCTTTTGTTCTCATAGTGCTCTGTTTTTGTCAGACCACAGCCCCGTGAAGTTAGGAGAAGAGCCTGCATTGCCTTTTTGTGAATGGGGAAATTGAGGCTCAGAAAGGTGGTCATATGTCTAATACCGAACAGCTGTCTAGGAGCTGGAATTGAATAAAGAAACCACCGTCATGCTGCTGTCAACCTGGTGATCTACTTCACTTCATTTTGGTCCAGGGAAAACCCCAATCCAACTTTCAGTTAGCTTTAACACAACTTTAAAATTGGTAGGCTTTTAAAATGAAAACCCCAACTCTGTATCATCTCTCTCACCTTGGTCTAATCACTGTTAACCTCCGGTGAAAAGTTTCAAGGAAAGAGTAACGACTATAAATACAGGTGCTTTGCTTGTTGAATCATCCTTTACTTGACTTTGGCTTTTAGCTCCTCTTACATACTTCATGTGGATGAAGCTGTTAATTCACTATGCTGAATTCAATTTTTATTCACATAATTCTATTTCTCCTTTATTTTTCCTTCCGATAAACAGGATTTGGTAACCTTGTAGACTGCCATATTTAATGAGAATTGTCTCTATAAGTTTTTGCCCAAATCTGACATTTCTTTGCCCAGGAGAGATTCAGTGAATACTGAGAACAGGCTTGGCTCAGGGAGTGTTAGCCAATCCAGTTTATAAGGGGCCACTACATAGGCCATTCCTGTCGTTGGTATCCCCTGCTACTTGACTTTGAAAACATCCCGGAATTCATGATTTTTTTTCAAGTGTGTTCATTGTCAGTCACACCATCAATTTTATTTTGAGTCAAATAGGAGTATTATGGCAAAAGCTTTGGGGATACATCAGGTAATGTTCCTTGTCCTCAAAGAGTTTATTGTCTAGTTGTGGCACAGACAAAATACAGTGTTAGAATTGTCTGGAGACTTCACTTGCAGTGGTGCTCTGCTTAAAGTTACAGATCTATAGATTGCTTTTTACACATTCACATTGCTGGTTCAGTCACACCAGAGATACTACTCAGAATTTAAAATAGGCCTAAGGATCTAATGACTTGTGTTCTAGATTGATTTAGACTTGCAGATTTAGCCTGTTGATTGGGTATTATCACCTTTAGGTTTTGTCCTAAATGACCAAGACCTAGTTGTCTGTGGCAGCATCCTGTCTTTCAGGATATGTTACTTCTATGGTTTGAATGTCCTCTCCAAAGCTTATTTTGAAACTTAATTGCTGTTGTAACAGTATTAAAAGGTGGAACATTTAAGAGGTGATTAGCCCATGAGGGCTCTGCCCTCATGAATGGATTAATGCCTTCATGGAGGGAGTGGGTTAGTTATCGTGGGGGCAGGTGCCTAACTAAAGGATTCGTTTGGCCTGATTTCCTCTTTGTCTGTTGTGCTCACTTGCCCTTCTGCTGTGGGATAATGTAGCACGACGGCCCTTGCCAGAGGCTGGCACCATGTTTAGACTTCCTAGCTTCCACAAGTGTAAGAAATAAATTTTTTTCTTTATAAATTACCCAGTTTCAGATATTCTGTCATAGCAGGAGGAAACAGACTAAGGCAGTTACTATCATCACATAGACCGTCTTTGCTCTACCTATCCTGCCATAGTAGGATTCATGACCAAGAATTTTATTAGCCAGCTAGGAAGAGGAACCTTGATGAGAACCTTTGATTAATTTTGTTTGATGTTTTTGTCTCCAGAAACAGGGCTGGGCTTGAAAGCTGATTTTAAAAGAGAAGGCTTCTCCATGCTGAAGTCACCCTGGCTTCATAAGCCTCTAGGTTTGAGAATGACTTTTCAGGGATACGTGGAAGAGTATGGTTTGCTGAAGAGTGGGTGTGGACTATTGTGATAAAGCCAGAGGTTTTTTTGAACAGATAATTTTTGCTTTTGTCAAGTCCTGTTTTTGAGCTTGTGGTGGCTAAAATTGAATTGGCAGCCTCCCCCACACTGCCATGGGAACTAGATGGTTTATCATCAAAGAGAATGCCTAGTAAAAGGGCATATTAATAGTGGAGTGGTATGGGGGATTGGGATTTCCAAATATTAGGTAACAGGTAATAGGGCCAGAGAAGTGAAAGTGGCTTCAGGAAAAGAAAGGATTTGCAACAATTCATAGTTGCCACTGAAGGGTATATTTGCATTTCTTTTGACAGCATTGACCTAAATCTTACTTCTTCTGCCATTTGTTACCCCTAGATCATCAACTGGAGATTTGTTTTAATGGGAAATTTGAAATTTGGGTACTTTTCCTTTGTTTAGGTTACTGGGAAAGGAAGTCTTGCACCTATTTATGGAGCAGGGTTTTCTAACTTCCCTGTCACGTGTTTCTTGTTGGAAGAGAATGAAGGAGACCAGTATGGCTGGAGAAAAGGAATTGTAGGAGGTATATTGAAGGATTATATGGTTCTGGATGCTAGAGCTTTGAATACCAGGCCAAGGAATATCTTATTTTTATTAAAGAAAATAATTTTATTAATATTATTTTTTATATTCTAGGATGTTGTTATGGAGCAGTTGGGAGGGAGGGGGAGAGGGGAAAAGGGAAGGAAATGGGGTGGAAGAAGGAGGAAGGAGGAGGGGCAGGATTGAGGCCTGTGGCACCCCCCTCATTCCCACAGGGGAGATTGGGGGGCTTCCAGTGGTGGCCTGGTCATTGCCAGACTGGGTGCAGATGTTAGGGGAGTATGGCAAAAGCCCTTGACCCCCCCCATCCCAGCTCGGGAACCCAGTGCCCGTCTTGCTGTGGCTTGATGATTGTCGCTGGGCTGGTTGTACATGTTGGGGAGGTGTGACTGAGGTTCTAGGGCCAAGGAATTTGGACTTCATTCTGTAGGTAATGGAAAGCATCTGAGGTTTCTGTTTTTTCTTTCTAAATTATTATTATTTTTTATTTATTTAAGTAAGGGAGAGACTTAAAATTGGCATTAGCATGTAGGGTGGATTGGAGGGAAAATTTCTTCAGTCTTCCCTAGTTTATTTTTGGCAGTCTGTTCTCTTCCATTCCTTCTGCATGTGTTAATTTAGCATATACTCTTTGAAAATTGACCATTACATTTTAAACCAATTAAAAATGCTACTACACTTTTAAAAAGCCTATTGTTATTTGGCCCAATGGTACAATAATGGTCTGTTTTCTTCTGTTCCCTCATGGCTGAGAGACTCACCCATGGTTTCAAGAACAAGCGAGAGATAAAAAATTGCCATTGAGAGATCTTTTTTTGGATAAACAGTGTAGTATAGTAGGCATTAAAAGGACCTCAGAGGTGGAATATTTTACTTTCAGATGGATTTCAAACATCCTTAGCAGCTGACTTCATCACGTAGTTAGATATCTCTGGAGGACGAGATCTATCCCTTTTTTAGAGTAACATTCCAATGCTGGCAACCCTTCTAGTTTCTTCATTTACCTAACTGAAATCTCTGCTCATTTAAAGTGCTGTTTAGGAGGGGTAAGTGGAAAACATTTAGACTGTCCTTAAAATAAGTCTTTGATCTTGAAATCAGTTTTTAAGTCATTTCACAACTTAGGTCTGTTCTGTTCTCTAATCTCTATGAAACAATTTTGGCTTTTTTTTTTTTTTGTAAATTATTTTGTTCTTCCTTGTTTAGAAATCCGAAGGCAATTTGAATTTGAAAGGCAAGGAGGCCTAATTCAGAGGTATTCTATCTCATGGAGCTATTGGGCTGTGTGGACTGGGGTCCAGCATTTCTTTTGGAATTAGCCATCAGATTTGTGGGTTCTAATATTAACTTCCATAACTACTGTCCAAGAGATTGGAAGTTTGCCACCCTTGCACCTGATAGTCCCTTTTCAAAATATCATTCATATCCATTGCTACCTCTTCATCATCAGTGTCTCTCAGTGCCTCATGTCTAGACTACTGTAACCGTCTGTCTAGCCTCTGGTCTCTCTTCTTGCAGTCCATCTTCCACTATGTTTGCAGGCTTGATTTGACTTGCAAATCTGATTGTGTCACTCCCACATAAGATTTGTCTGTGGTTCCCAAAGTAAAATTAAAATATTTTTATGGCATGCAGGCTGTTTCATGATGTGGTTTTGTTGCTATCTGTAGCTTCCTGGCTTGCTTCTGCCTCTTCTGTACTTTATGCTCCAGCATTATTGAGCTCCTTGTCATTCCCTGAACACTCTGTGATATCTCAAGCTACTTTACCTTTGCTTGACTTCCTTCAAAATTCCTTCAGTTCTTAGACTTCTCGACTCAAGTGCTTCTTCTCTTTGGAACCCTTCCATGACTCTCCCAGTAGATCTACGTTTTTCTCCTACATTCCTGTGTGTGTGTATGTGTGTGAGTGAGATACATGGCACTTTTGTATTGTGCTGTGTTTGTTTGCATGTCTGTCTTCCCTCTGGAAGGTGAGCCCTTGAGGGCAGGGGCTGTCTTTTCAACTCCGTACCTTCAGTGCTTCAGCACCCTATATGTTACATTGTGAGCATGCATATAAGAATTTAAGGAATACTAAGCAATTATGTGCCAGGTTCTCTGCCAAGTTACTGGGATTCACCTGGGAAGCACACAGATGTCATCCCTACTCACACAGAGTTCATAATCTAGTGGGCGATACAGACAAGAAAATATGGATATAGCTGATAGAGAATTATTGGCGAGAAGAGGAACACAGTGGGCGCTCAACCCTGCTCAGTGGTCCTGTAATAATACTTTCCTAATATGGTTGCTTTGCGAAAATATGCTTCATAACTTCTCTCCTTAGTCTCTTCTGTATTTCTTCTTTTCCTTTATTCTCAATTGATGATCTTGCTTTCATTTTTTCATTAAAAAGAAAAAACTAGAAGTAGATGGAAATCCCTTTGTCTTCCCACCACTGAATCATAGCAGCTCACCTACTTCTGTACCCATACTTCTGACTTCATTATAGTGGACGATGTGTCCCTTTCCTGTTAAACGTCAGCTCCTTCACTTGTGCAG